TTCCTGTTGCTTTTGACCCACTCCTGGGCTCTGCGCCACGGGACCCACACATCGCGCTTGAGCTCGACGACGGCGACCCAGTATGTGAGGATCCAAAGCGGATAGTGAGTTACGTCGCCGCCGAGATGGCTATAAACCACGGATTGACTCCCATCCAGCCAAGATTGGCGGCTGCAAGCAGCAAGTTTGTGAACAGTCTTCGAATCCGGGATGGGAAGACGCCGCGCGTGTATCATCAAATCCTTGTCGGCGATGTCTGGCAGTTTCTCGCTGAAGAATTGCGCGGGCTGCGTGGCCGTGCTGAGGGTGTTCTCGAGAGGAAGGGGGAAATCAAGCATTTTGGCGATACTGAGGTGTTCCGAGGGTATGAGGTCAAATTCAAGTTCCTGGGGGATGGTAAAGTATTCGGCGGCCTTTCTCTTGACTCTGGGGGGCACCGATGCCCAGGATTTGCCCTGGGCAACCCAGTCGACCTCGTTCACAGTGTCCATGGCAGGAGAGGAAGAGGAATATTTTTTTATTGTCATCCACAAAATCCAAATTACTCCCTGATCGTCTCCTGCTTGAATGTCGGGAACTCAACACGGAACACGTACGGAAGGCCCATAGGCCAGATGTCGGCCCGCCCCAAACCCCGGATGGGCACAAAGTATTCTTACTAGCTTCCTGAGCCCCATGCATCTTCGGATAGGTGTTAAGGATCCTGTCGGGGCGATTCTGAGCCATTGCGGTGCGATTTGCGAAAATGAACTTTGTCGAGTCGGTGACGCTCACCGGCCAAGTTTGAACTCCGAACCCAGTGAACTTTGTTGGTGACGGGTGACATAGTGTGAACTAATGGTCGTAATACTACAGTAGTTGATGGTAGGTGAAGACGGGGAGGTCAATTCTTGGCTCGGGTGTGGAACGCAGGTGGCGGGAGAACGAGGGAGAGCGGGGAAGATGGCGGTTCGAGTCAAAGAGCAGCGGTGGAGCTTTGTGGGTCCCGCGGTGGAGTCGACGACATCATCGCTTCGGCCAACCTTAGGCAAACCTTTGTCAGTCGCTTTTTGGTGCCCAAACGATGTGGCGAAGTCCAGATGCTGCCAGCCAAATACTGGCCATGTTCATGAGCAGTGCATACTGTACTATGCAGTGAATTTTGTGATTCACCCGGAAAACCGAGTGAACCCATACTGTGCTATTTCGACCAAGTGTTCAGTGACGGGTGACACCGCTTTTTATTTGATTTGTGCAAAAAGTGCCTTAAATTAAACGGAAATTTATCGGTCTCGTCGGACGAGAAAATTCCCAAATTGATGAACACTTGGTCAAAATAGTACAGTATAGTCAGGGTATGTGGTGAATATCAGAGTTTGCACAAAATCGGGGTGAAAAGCGAAAATCACGCCGTGATGCCGTGAAATTCACGGCCTTCATTTTCCACAGTGTGATGCATGAACTGTCTGGCGAACCTTTTTACCACCAGCAGTGGTCGACAATAGAGGAGACTCTCTCGATTGGTGGCATGTGAGAGCTCAAGGACAGAGTGAACAGGCATTGGAGTGCAGGGTGCACACAACCACTTCTTTCAAGATCAGCTATGTCTGTTGGGTTGGATCGGGGTTCAACTCCCCGCCGATGCATACAATGGCACCGACAGTATCTTTTGCACTCAAATGTAAATAGGGAGATGTCTGTCCATCCCCGAACCCGGTGACTGTATGGCAGCTAAGCATCGGAGTGCACGGTGCACACAACCACTTCATATCTGGGTTTTATGTACAGGAGCTTGCTGGTTGAATTCGGGGTTCGACTCCCCGATGATGCATAGCATGCTGGCATAGGATTTTTTGCCCAGTCAATAACAGAGAACATCTCAACTGGCGGTAAAAATCAGTGGTATGAATTTTTTTGACTGAGGGTGAATGAGCATTGGTTGTGCACGGTGCACACAACAGGCACTCAATTTGCTTGTTCACTTTCCAATCGCTGGTTGGATCCGGGGTTCGACTCCCCACCAATGTGTGAGATCGGCGAGGCTTTTTTTGCCCCAGTGATTGGTCAATAACAGAGGAGATCTAGATTGGTGGCATGTAAACATTTGAGTGAGTGAGCATTGGAGTGCAGGGTGCACACAACCACTCAATTCGTTCCAGGCATTGTAGTACTTGGTTGGATTGGGGTTCGACTCCCCGCCGATGCATACCGCTCGGTGAACTTTTTTTCTTTCTTTCGGCTGCAGTGGTCAACAACAGAGGTCGGTGGAGTGTGATTTGAGGATGAGGAGAGAGCGGAAATATTACAAGACCAGTGAATCACCATGATTTTTTTGTTTTTTTCCTTCTGGGCTAGGCGTACCCACGTCCACCACTTTGAGGAAAACAGGTATCGGAGTGCACGGTGCACACAACCACTTCTGGAAAGATCAACAATATCCGCTGGTTCGACTCCCTGCCGATGCAGCGAACTCTTTTTTTTTTTTTTTGCCCTAGCAGTGGTCGACAACAGAGGAGACTCTCTCAATTGGTGCCAGGCAAATTGTTGGCATGTAAAATTCAAGTACAGAGTGAATGAGCATTGGTCATGCACAGTGCACGTGCACACAACCACTCAATTCGTTTGAGCCATTGTAATACTTGGTTGGATCCAGGGTTCGACTCCCCGCCGATGCATGAAGGGCTGACAGCCGTTTTTTTTCAGTGGTCAACAGCGGAGGAGGAGTGTGGTTGAAGGATGAGGAGATCCGAGGAAGTGAATTATAACTACAGAAGGGGAAGGATAATTATAATTACAACGGGCTCATTTGAAAGAGTGCATCACTATAGTTGTTTGTCTTTTTCCTCTGAGGCCAGGCATATGCATATCCACCTCCAACTGGCCTGAGGAAAACCAAGCACTCCACCTACTCTGAGGAAAATAGGCATTGGAGTGCAGGGTGCACACAACCACTCAATTCGTTCGAGCCATTGTAGTACTTGGTTGGATCGGGGTTCGACTCCCTACCGATGCATGCTGAGGTTCCACGTTAATTTCTTTCTTTCTTTCTTTCTTTCTCGGCTGCAGCAGGCGACAACGGAGGTGGTGTGGTTGAAGGATGATTATAATTACACCAGGATCAGTGTCAGAGATATTACAGGTCGAGTGTATCACCATGATTGTTTGTCAGGATTTTTCACCCCAGTCATTGGAGGACATCTCAATTGGTGGTAAATTGATGGCATGTAAAGGTGAAAAAACAGAGTGAACAGGCATCAGAGTGCAGGGTGCACACAACCACTTTATAAAGCGAAATTTTTCAGCTGGTTGCTGGTTGTATCCAGGGTTCGACTCCCCGCCGATGCATACCATAGGCAGGATGATATCTTTTGCACTTAAATGTAAATGTGGAAATCATGAATATCTGTCCATCTTCGAGTCTGCTTATCAAGCATTGGTCGTGCATTGCACACAACCACTTTCAAAAGTCTCCCGGAAGTTGCTGGTTGGATCTGGGGTTCGAATCCCGCCAATGCATAACATCTGAGGATGCCTTTTTTTTTAGCGGATCAGGCCTCAGGGTTAGATTCAAGTTAGAATTCTTTTTCTCGCAGAAGGGACTTCGGATTCACCTGGATGATGTGGGGTGGAAAGACCCCAATTCATTTGAGTAGGTGATATGATATGCAATTCAGCAGTCAGAGCAGAAGGCATTGGAGTGCAGGGTGCACACAACCACTTTGTTTCTGAATCACTTTACAGGTTGCTGGTTGGATCAGGGTTCGACTCCCCGCCGATGCATTCAGGTGTCAACCATTTTTCTAAGGAGAGCTGGAGGGGTGGTATGTAAGAGCTCAAGGACAGAAGTGAATGAGCATTGGAGTGCAGGGTGCACACAACCACTCTTTGGAAATTTGGGATCGGTTCAATGATTAGACAGGTTTCGACTCCCTGCCGATGCATATAAGCGTAGATTGCAGGATTTTTTTGCCCCAGTCATTGGTCAACAACAGAGGAGAGCTGAATTAGTGGTAAATTAGTGGCATGTAAAGATTGCAAAACAGAGTGAATGAGCATCGGTGCACACAACCACGTTATATCTCAGTTCTATGTATAGGAAGTTGCGGGTTGGATCCGGGGTTCGACTCCCTACCGATGTGTTATATCCGTGCACGTACAAGTCCAGGACGTCACCAGAAACCTCCAAGCAGTCACCGGTCACTCAACCGGTACCGGTGGATACTCGTGGGATCTTCTAGAGTCTTATCACACCACCCTTGCACCATACAATCAGCAGGCCCTCAGCCTATGGCCAAAGGACCTCATCCTTATGGTTCAAGACTTCTCTGTTATTGTGTTCGCCATGCTAACCCCATTTGGAATCACCTCCTATTGTTACTTCCACATGGTTCCTACTTCTTACCCCTTATACTATACAATAAGCCACTATTTAATCTCGTAGTCTACATCCCTGTTCTTCAGTCTGATAATAAACGTTCTCTTCACTTCTCCTCTGTGAAGAAATCCGATTGTACCCCTCCGGCACCGGTCGTTCTACCGGTCGTCCTCTGCTCAGTCTTGGGATACCTAGTAGGGGCTCGCGCAGCACCTCTGTCGTGATTGCCTGAAAAGCTTGTCCGCTGGTCACTCGTTCCTGTCACCGGTCACCTCTGGTCACTCTACGCTCCCCGGCCGAAAGTACTCTGCCCTGCCACTCGGATATAACACGATGCATTAACATGGTGGCATAGGATTTTTTTGCCCCCAGTCATTGGTCAACAACAGAGGACATCTCAACTGGGTATAAAAATCAGTCACATGTAAAGATTCAAGGACAGAGTGAACAGGCATTGGAGTGCACGGTGCACACAAGCACTTCATGGGATTTGGTGTAAAATTGTTGTTGGTTGAATCCGGTGTTCGACTCCCCACCAATGTGTGAGATCGGCGACAGGCTTTTTTTGTCCCAGCCACTGAAGGACATCTTCACTGGGGGGTAAAAAATTAGTGGCATGTAAAGATTTCAAGACAGAAGTGAATGAGCATTGGTCGTGCAGGGTGCATACAACCGCTTCGTAGTAAAGACGCGAGATGCACTGGTTGGATCCGGGGTTCGACTCCCTGCCGATGCATGCAGGTGTGGTCAACCATTTTGCGCCAGCAGTCAACGACGCAGGTGGGTCTGGTTTATTGCTGTTTGCATAAGAGTTGGCACAACCGGGTTTTTGATCGCCGTTTGATGCGCCTCAGTAAAACATTTTTCCTGAGCTCAATTCCCAGCCGTTTGGGCTGGGAGTATACTTTAAATTCATCGTTGACGGAGGCGCATCGAGTGGCACCACGCTCACACATTATTCCTGTGAAATGAGAATTACAACTTCCGGCAGCCGGATTTCGGCGGCCGAATTTTTACGCCGAGTTCTCACGCGTTTCGGCTCAAACAAATTTATGGGGGTGTGCGCATAGAGCCTCCCAGCAAAATCCATCCATTTGCCGGAGATGAGTTGTAGCGTGATGCTGTCTGGAGCTTTAGCTGGAATAAAAGGATACAACTGTTTATATGTATCTCACCTGCACCCCGCCCAATTCCTGGAGCCATACGAGGCGAAATGGACCCGCCGTGACGCGCCGAAGAAGAAGCATCAATCTTGTCACCCAGTGATGCGTTACACCGCGACTTCTCTTCCACCGCCATGCCCAAGCGCGACTTGTCCGCTGCCCTGGCCAAGAAGCCGGTCGGGCGACCCCGGAAAAAGGCGAAAACAACCACTGATACACCTGCAACCGCCCCCAGAACCCAACCCACAAAACCAATTCCATCCACTGGCACCACGCAAAAAGCTGACTCTGCGTCCGGTTCTGCTTCCACCTCTGCTCGCGTGTCGACCTCAGACTCTGATGTACTTCCTGAAACCATCGAAATTGACTCTGATACCTCCGAATCGACTTGTGTGGACCACGAAACAGTGGATGGCGCAGACTTTGATGCCGCAACAATCAGGATGCTGGGGCGCGGGGACAAGGGTTCCGGTCGGAAGAAGATGGGTGGGGACGATGGGGAGGAGTCCGATTCTAACGATGGGGAGGACGGCGATAAGCAGGAAGAAGATGAGGAGGACGAGCAGTACACAGGTGCGGTCACAGTATTTTTACTGGGGCTAATACTAACTCCAATCCCGGAAACCATACATCGATTTGGAGTTTATTATCCCCGTCAGCTCCAATGCGACAGATGCCCTCACCATCTCCTCTACCAGCACTTACCTTGAATTCACCCAAAGCATCGCTGACGATGGGACCAAATTTGATGCAGCAGCAGGAACAGGCATTCTGGGGCGTGGTGATGGGGAAAATGGGAGGACACAGGATGTGGATGCTGAAGCGGAAAATGAGCAGGAAGAGCAGAAGGATGCTACAGATGACGAGGAGGTGGTGGGTAAGTCTTGGACTGTTACGGTGCCTTCGCACTCCTCCCCTTGTGAGCCTAAGAATTTGCCCTTGAATTTATCATTCCCGTCAGCGCAATCGCCGTCGATACCCTTTACCTATTCTCCAATACTACATTTCGATGCTTTCCTACAGAAGGTCGCCGTCGAGATTCATCCAGATAGATGTGCACTGCCGAGACTTGGAAATTGGGCACAAGGTTACAGTTTGGATAAAGAATGCACTCCTGCGCGGCCTAGGTTCCAGCGGCCTATCCTCTTCCGCGCGCGAGGAGCTTCAGCAGGCACAAGATCAAAAGGGACCAAAAAACCTCTTCAAGTTACGATCTTCAGCTTGAGACCCAAAACACTCCCTGCTGCAAGATCGTCGGATCTCAAGTGTTATGGCGGACCCAGTTTTCCTTTGCGAGCCAGTGAGGACTTTTGCGTGGACTGGAAGAGATTGATCAAAGACTGATGATTCAGTAGACTTCGCGTGGGCTAATGTCAGTGTAGCTACTAGTACTAGCAACCCGGACACCAGCTGTGTGGATGCAGACGATGGTCCATTTTCGGTCCTCTGAAATTGGTTTCCCTTTGGGCATGAGCGGAGAGAAGGAGACGTGTAACGCGCGTAACCGATTGACGGCCCCAAATCAGTATTGATGCTGTCTGTTCGGCGCGTTGTGGTGCATCCAGTTTGGGGCAAGATGCTCCCAAATTTGAATGGGGCATACAGGGACCTCATCCAAACCGGCCCACCGAGTTGAATTGGCTAGAGCTCCAGACAGCATCGCGCTAAAACTCATCTCCGGAAAATTGATGGATTTTGCTTCGGCGCGTCACAGCGCGTGCGGTTCGCGCCATGTTGGTCCAGAACTTCGAGGAGGTATTGGGAGGCTCTATGTGCACACCCTCATAAATTTGTTTGAGCCGAAACGCGTGAGAACTCGGCGTAAAAATTCGGCCGCCGAAATTCGGCTGCCGGAAGTTGTAATTCTCATTTCAAGGGAATAATGTGTGAGCGTGGTGCCAATCGATGCGCCTCCGTAAACGATGAATTTAGAGTATACTCCCAGCCCAAACGGCTGGGAATTGAGCTCAGGAAAAATGTTTTACTGAGGCGCATCAAACGGCGATCAAAAACCCGGTTGTGCCAACTCTTATGCAAACAGCAATAAGGATGACCATGAGGAGAGGACAGATTATAATTACAACAGAATTAGTAGAATATTACAGGAAGAGCTTGTCTTTTCCCTCCTCCTGAGCATATCCACCTCCACCTACTCTAAACAAAATAGGCATTGGAGTGCACGGCGCACACAACCACTTCTTATAAGGGTATCCAAGGGTTGCTGGTTGGATTCGGGGTTCGACCCCCTACCAATGCATAGCATGCCTAAAAGACGGATAATTCTAATGGGAAACCCGGTTTCCCGAGAAACCCCACCATGAATGAGATGTGTTGTCGGGAAGCCGGGTTTCTCGAGGAACCCTTGCCTAAGGTTAGTTGATTGGCCAGCTCGGCGCACCCAGCTTGCCCAGATCAACGATATATGAAATGGGAGCCCTTCAACGTCGATCCAGATTCGAAAATAGTGTCGGCAGGGAATTCCGAGGTTCGAAGGCATGCAGCAGTTGCACAGGTAGCACCCATCTGGAAGGACAACAATATACAAGGTCAGCAAATATTATGTGAGGGCCGCGCAGTACCAGAGACACAGCAAGGGTGAGTCAGGGTGAGTTGGGTCCAGCATGGAGAGGAAATATCCGACCAGTCGCAACACCGCATCCACCACTCGGTTAGTTGCGCAGGCAGTGTTTATTGTAGCGAGACTGTTTCTAGCTTGAGGTTGATGTTGGAATGAAGCGGCAAGTATGCAGTCTGTGTCCATAGAGGAGTGGGTTTGCTGTTACCCCCACCCAGTGTTGGACCGTGGACAGGTCGAAGTTACAGTTCAACCGTGGGAAAGTGCGGCGGGGTGACGGCAGCATTGTTCCGCTCGTATTCCGTTGCGGTGTCAATGATGCGGCATGTATTGCCGGCGGGGCTTCCTGTTAGAACAGCCAAAGAGTTCTCTAATCCAATGGGGTTTCCCAAGAAACCGGGTTTCCCATTAGAATTATCCATAAAAGACCTCTGAATTTTTTTGCCCAGTTTAAGGATCAGTGCTAAGGACCTTATGCGGAGACCGACACATTCATTCATTGGAAGTGCATGCATTTGTTTGCAAGCACAAAGGGCATGTGGATTGGTGGCAAATTACTTAGCGCGGTGGAATCATTTCAGCACTGAGCGGTCAAGCATCGGTCGTGCAGGGTGCACACAACCACTTCTTAAAGAAATCGGCAATGTTCGACTCCCTACCAATGTGTATGAGATCAGTGAAAGCCTTTTTTTGTGGCTGCAGTGGTCAACAACAGAGGAGAGCTGGATTGGTGGCATGTAAAGGTTTCAAGACAGAAGTGAATGAGCATCGGAGTGCAGGGTGCACATAACCACTCAATGTGCTTGCAAATTATCGCAATGGTTGGACAGGGGTTCGACTCCCCACCAATGCATGAAGGCCTGACAGCCGCTTTTTTTTTTCAGTGGTCAATAACAGAGAACATCTCAACTGGGGGTAAATTAGTGGTATGAATGTTGTCAAGGACAGAGTGAACAGGCATTGGAGTGCACGGTGCACACAACCACTTCTTAACAATGCCCCGCCCGATGTTTGCTGGTTGGATCCGGGGTTCGACTCCCCACCGATGTATAGCATGCTGTGTACCTCATTTTTTTATTGGCTGAACCTAAAAAACCTCGGATTTTTCAGTGGACTCTCATATATTGCAAACCGTCGGCATTTCTAGGTACCGCGCTAATGATATTCCAGTCCAGACACCAGACAATGACCATAATTCAAGGAAGCAATATTGACCTCCGCCTATTCTGACAAAAAGTGGCATTGGGGTGCAGGGTGCACACATCCACTTCTTGAAAAGGTCTGCAATGTTCGCTGGTTGGATTCGGGGTTCGACTACCCGCCGATCGTGGTTGAAGGTCCCAAAATTTTGAACCACGGGCTTCAAACCCCGGCTGCTGTGTTTTTCTCTTTTATAAGTTAAGGAGGGAAAACAAAGGAGAGACATCTATGAGGCGAGATGGTCCCAAGCGGTGTCGCGAGCTTGGTGTAACGGTAGCATAGGACGAGTATTTCCATGAACGCCGAACGGGGTTCGACTCCCCGACCCCGCCTCGTTGTCTTTTGGTTCCGCTCTTTTTATCATGGCACCTTTCCTCTCGGGAGAATTTTCAAAGATTTAGGAAAGCAATGGAGGGAAGCTTATGATATTCAACCCATAACGGACAAAGGAATATGTTCAACTCGTGCACAAGGAGATTCCCAATGTATTAAGCCAGGTCCAAGATGTACCTAGAAGGACGGAGTGAGCGAAGAGGATGGATGGACACCCGACGTTTGCCCGACGTAGACGGGGAAAGAGACGCTACGAGACGTACGTTGTAGGCACATCAGTTTGGTGGAGACCGGATATGACGAGCGGGACGCCGCCGATGCCGAAGAAGCTGCCCGCACTGGGAGAGAAATATTACTCCCGTACCCGATATAATAATCAAACTGGAAACACTCACCGAACATTGATATCCACCTCCTGCAGATCCAACTCCTGGAACGGGATGATAGCAAGCGACGCGTCGACGC